CTTTATTGTTTCAGACTCACCACAGTCTGGAACAATAATACCGGGTTTCGCACCGCATTTATCTCAGTGCTGAAATATAGTATTTGTTTTTCTATCATAAAGCCACTGTAGGCATGAATAATATAAACAGGGTAAGGTGCATTTGTTGGTAAAATCCATTTAGTTTGCAAACAGAAATATAATGAATACAAATTTATACCGCTATCTTTCTTTTTGCTCAGCCAATCCGAGAGATCTGGCTGACTTTATGCCGTTCTCACCATAATATGTCACTACCATCACTAAACAAGATATCAAATTATAGCTCGCAGTCTGGCCAATGTCCATCTCTTTGCAGTAAAGCGTGAAATTATTGTTTTCTGTCAGCTGTTTCCTTAGCTATGATTTTCTACGCATCTCAATAATCATAAAAGTCAAATACCACTCTCTCACTGATCACTATACCTAAAAAAACTACAAGCCATAAAAACTCAGGAATTGGCATGGAGGTTCCAATCAACCTCTAGGTGTGCAATAAAAAGAGTTTCCAAAATATTCCATCAGGGCTCTGCCCCAGTGGTTTTTAAAGTCCCTATGTTATCCTTATGGAGAAAATATTTCATGGTGTAATGGCCTCTGGATCGTCTGAATTAATTATATAGGGGTTTAAGTTACCTTGTTGCTGTCAAAACGATCCATTGTAGTTTGTAAGTCTACAGCTGTTTCAAAGCTGTATCAGCTGAGGGTAACTCGCCCTCAGCCGGTGCCGTATCACGTGTGTTGTTACCGTCGTCTAGTCGACCAATATTGAAATAGTTATTTGTGCAACTAGTGAGAAAAGTAAGCAATTGACTCACTCGAGAGAAATCCTTACTCACGAGCCGTAGGCGAGTGAGGAATGGTTTCTCGAGTGAGGCAATTGTACTTTGAACTCGAGTTGCACATTATACTTTTCCTACAGTTACCATAAAACAAATAAATTGGTGAAGAAACATAACCTATTTTTACACAGAAGTGAACTTTTAATACAACATTTAACGTGAAGTGACAAATACAACAGTACAACAGCTGACCAGCTGATTTACAGTCAGTGCTGCCAACGTATTTCGCGCGCATACGACGTTGCCTGCATGTTACGCGCTCACTATTTCGTGCCTTCACGTTGCAAATCTGGAGTAAGGCAAAGTAATTAGAGTGAGACAATGTTAACATTGTCTCACTGATGAGTGAATTGGCCACTTTGCTTTCTCATATCAGTGAGAGAACATGTACATTGTTAGGTAAATGTAGGAAAAAAATATTTCGTGTTTCCATGTGTTATGTGTTTTGTTGTCTATTTATTATCAAACTTTTGACGAACTCCACTACCAGGATTATGAAGACTACTTGACACTCTTCTGACCTGATGTTGTACTACATTCGAAGGATGAAACAGCTGTAGCCTTACAAATTACAAAGGATCGTTTTGAAAGTAACAAGGTATTTAAACCACTGTATAGAAAAGATTTGTTTAAATTTGAAGACATTAATACTTTTGAATATGCACTATTAATAAGGGAACAAATTTTTATATTGTATTACATAAAATGAAAATACTTACATTATTTTTGTGGCTTCAAAAAGTGTTTTACTGCATAAGATTTTAATAGTTAAATGAATAAAAAAAATCAAGAAGTGTAGGCCCTACTCAGGTTGAACATTTTTAAATTTTCATAAGCAAACCCGAGACGGGTTTGCTAGTATGACATAAAATCTATTAGCATTTCCATGAGGATCTTTCACAGGAGAACAGGTATTCAGTAATTGGAGGTTTTAGCCAGCAAAAGTGTTTACTTAAATATTTTGGAGGTTTATTTGTTGCTGGAGCGTTTTTATTTCAAAAATTGGTTAAACGCGCAAATCTCAGGGCTGTGAAATCAATTCCACACGGGATTACATTCTGCGTTCCCTAGGTGGTGTTTGCATCACGGTTACGTTGTATGATTTTTTTTAATTTCCAATATCATAGCTATTCTTAGTCTTAGCTCGGTCCAGTCTTGATGGGGAGCGTGTACTATCAATAGAATAGGTCTGGGATATATTATACTGTGCTTTGGGGGGGGGGGGGAATCTTAAGCCAGTAAAATGCCAATGCCTAAGTCACATACCAACAAGCAATTAGTTAGGTATTGGCAATATGGCTTAGTAGTCCAAAGTTTTACCACTGAGCTGTAGTGCTCGTATTTATAGTTTACTAGCTGTAACCCGCGGGCTTTGCCCCGTTTAACTTCTTAATTTTCAAGATTATCTCGTTCGCATTGCTCAATCACGTCCTGGTTGAAGTTTGTTCGCTACGCTCACTCACCTTTTGGTTGCAAATTAGCTGTTGTCATAAATGTAAAAGAAATAATAGTGCTGCACCCTGTTGGTAATCCTTGTAACTTTAATGCTATTGAACATCATAGAACAGAACCAACTTGTTTAATTGAAACAGCTGTTAAGATTCAACTAGGGGAAACCCGTCGAAATCGACGGTTACTTTCAAGGCTTACGTTAATTCATCTAACTGCGATAAATTGGGTGAAATATACATATTTTGAGCATTTAGCATTGTTTTAAGGGTAGTAAGTGTGAAAACAATAATGATTTTAATTGCGTTAGTTGCCAAATTTGGTTGATCATTCAATGATTAAAATATTTCCCATACCGTACGTCATTTGACTCATCGGAGTTATTATTAGTATGTTATATGATATCTCTTCCTTTGGAAGAACCTTTAAATAGTATTAAAATCGTATTGGTGGGTCTTTTGTAGTTAAACACTTCTGTGATTTCATCAGTGTAATATGATTTTATTTGAAAAGAAAATATTTTTTTGGAAGAAATGTTCTAACTTCAAAGGGAGGTATGTCCGTTACAGTGCAAGTTTGATTTTTCCTTCGTCACGTCGCGTCAGTTCATATCGTACTTCTGTGCCAATGAATGAACCCTCTAGCATAGTTATGAGAAATTTATTGTGGGGTTACTGTTAAAGCTGGAATTCCTTGACATGGGGGATGTCAGTTAGTTGTCTCAGCCTTATCAATAACATAAAGTTGTCAATATAATCTCTCTACGGAATGATAGGTGTAGTGGAATACTTGAAGTGAAGTTGGCTTTTATTCTTAAACTGTTAGGGACCTCCTAGTTTATATGGTCTTGCGGCTTCATTGGCAACAAATAATGCAAATGACATAGCAATGGGACATTTCCAAAAAGAAAAAATACTGTAAATTGGCTGTTGCGTATATATTGACGTTTACATATTGTAAATCAACGTATCTTATAAAGGATTATGAGGTCTAGTTTAAAAGGAATATGACCTTTCTGTCATGACAGTAGCTGCTAAAATAGTATTTTCTCTTTGTACCATATTTTACAGCCAAAATGTCGTGTTATTTTCAATAATGTTACCAACCCAGTGCGCCAAAGTCCGTAATATAGGCAGGTGCAAATAATTTGTCAAGATGGGTACCATTTTAGGCAATGTTTCTATGTTTGGATTTTATTAGACACGATAAGAGCAGATATTTCTACATGAATATTTGATATGTGTAGAATATGATAAAATTTAGGCAAAAGTGGTGAAAAAGGCAGACACCAACCCGTACAATAGATATAAGATAGTTCAATAAGAAATAATTTAAGAATTTCTGTGATCAAAGGATTTTCCACTGATTTCGTAATAGAACGTTATATTGCAAAACATGACATGATAAAGAGGAAAATTAATTTTAAAATCAGAAAATAACATTGCAAATACTTATTTGGTAGAATGCAGTATCTCACAATAAATATGTGTGGTTTGAAATACAATTTAAAAATGAACAGCTGTTTTATTAAAAAGTATTATTCACATGGCCAAAATGTAAACAACTCTGTGGAGGGATCTTTAAAGGCTTCTGGGGCAGAGCCCTAAGGGATTTTGCTTAGTTTTTCTTTTGATATCTCATCTACAGACCAAGACCTTTCTTTGGACACCTCTACCAAGTTTCTACGCCCAGCCGTTCTCTCAAATTAGTGGGGACAAAGTTTCCAATTAAATATTTAAATTCCCCCATGTTAATCTTATGGGAGAAAATCCAACTTTGATGGCCTGTGGGGCAAAGCCCGAGGATTTTTATTACATGAATTGGTGAAAGGGGGCGTCTACACAAAAAATACTTTATTTTGACACGTCGTTTGTAAAAATCCATCCATTATTAACGGAGGAGTAGTGTTTTCAAGAAATCGCCTTCACGTATTATATATAAGGATAATTCCATTTCTCATAAGGTTAACATGGGAAACTCCAGAGCCACTGGGGCGGAGCCCGAAAGGATTTTTGAAATAAGAATATGCCTATATGTTAATCGGGAATGTGAGCTATCATCATGCCAAATTTCAGCCCAATCCGACCAGTATTTTTCGCGTTCACTTGTCACAAACATACATCCATACATCCATCCATACATCCAAACTTTCTCATTTATAATATTAAGTAGGATAACAATTAGCAATTATTTAAGATGGGGACGCCACTATGTGCTTATTTTAACCCAAATTGAGTGAAGGATGAGTGTAGAATGAGTGGCGCGATCTTGTAGTCTTGTTAGTGACTAAGGCCGACATGTTCCTCAGACAAAGCTGTTAATTAATAGCACATATGTCAACTAAGGGACCTACAGTTTATAGTGGAATACGAACCACATTTTCCCCTCGTAATAACGAATTGGTCTAATTATCAGGATAGTACTGCGGATAGTCGTAGTACTCACTATAGGTCGGCCGCTTAGAAAGCGACCTCCTCCAGCATTGGTTTAGCATTAGCGAGCAGGTCGTTTTCTAATAGTGCGGACGTTAAACCACACCAGGGAGCATCGCATCTACAGTGTATGCCTATAAATATCCACGATTCGTGACCTCCATATAAACTGTGTATGAAGTACATCTAGAAACTTAAACTTCCTCTTTCTTGGAAAGGCTTAACAGCGAACAACTTATTCACTATTGGTCATTTTCAGAGCTGTATTGCCCGTGGACCTGGGACCAAGTTCTCTGCTGGCCTCCGACCAAAGCGGGAACCACTGCCACTCAGAGGTGCCCCAGGGATAAGGGGATCGATCCTACCAGTAAGTATTGTAACGTAGTTTATATAAAGTAGCTATACAATATTCAGGGTGTTCAAAAAGTTAGGGACATAATTTACGTGGTGATTCCTTTGGTAAAAATAAAAATAAAATCGGAATAGAACTTTTTTCTAAAATCACTTCGTTAAGCAGATATTCGTCATTTTGTATTTTTTACATATACATTTTTTCTTTGTCCTGCCGATCCAGTCGATCTTTATGAAACCTGGTATGTTTATGCAACCCAATTCAGAATATTAAAAATGACCAAAATATCATGATCTTTTGTCGTAAAAGTTTTAAACTTGGTGTCGTTGGATAGAACACTTACTTAAAATATTAAATAAAAGTATCTATGAATTTTTTTTTAAATAAAACCAGCCATTTATTTGTAATTTACATTTAAAAATGTAAAATGGCCACCATTTTGAAATTTTACAAAATAGGGTAATCTTTTTCTCTTACATGGACACGACGCGATTTTGGACAAGTTTTATTCTTGATTTTCTTCTTATTTTTTGATCCAAGAATCACTACGTAAATTGTGTCCCTACCTTTTTTCAACACCCCGTAACACATTATGATCTATGGTCGGATTTTACGTTGTTCCAGATACTGTATCCACAAAAAGTTTGATTGGTTGAACTTTATTTACTTGTGTTTTGTAACAATTTATAAATAGATTTGACTTTATTGAGTGTAGCTTTGTTTAGTTATCTATACAACTATTGTCGTTGTTTCTTTAATGTTTAATAGGAAAATTCCAAATGAAACACTGTCGTAGAGGTTTATTGAAAAGATAAGGACACGTAAAATAACTATCCAGGTACTAAACGAAGCTAGAAATATTTTTCGTGTATGTATTTCAAGATTTGCATGTGTAAAACAACAATAATCTAGGCGTTAATTTAAGATGATGATTTATTTATTTTACAAATAATATATTTATGAGTATTATCTTTTTATATTGTTTTTCATATGATAATTTAACAAAATCTCAATTTAAGAAAGTTTTCTGGAATAATGCAAATCAAGAATATTTTTTATTGTTTATTTGGTGTTTGTTTACGCACTGAGTTTTGATTTTTGTCACAGTCAGTTGGAAATAATAATCGTAACTTCTGTTCACAATGAACAGGTAATTTGGAAGTCGGCGAGTACGTGCAGAACACTATAAATATACGACTAATTTACCTATAACTAATAGTTGGTATCCGGTGTGCAGAGTTACAATTTAGTTAATGGCCACAGTAATTGGCAAGGGAAGTCTCCAATCGCGTTACGTGGTTCTATGGATTATCCACTGAATTAAACCGATTCTGCTTTTATAGACACACTCAATTCCTACTACTCACGAAATCATTTAACTCCCTGTAATTTGAAATTGTTAACACCTAGTTTTAGTTTGGATTGAATTTTTATATTTTGTTTCAAAATTATCTAATAACTAGCTGTAACCCGCGGGCTTTGCCCCGTTTAACTTCTTAATTTTCAAGATTATCTCGTTCGCATGGCTCAATCACGTCCTGGTTGAAGTTTGTTCGCTACGCTCACTCACCTTTAGGTTGGAGCTCGTTCGCTACGCTCACTCACCTTTAGGTCGGAGCTCGTTCGCTGCGCTCACTTGCCTTCAGGTTAGCTCGTTCGCTACGCTAACTCGCCTCCAGGTTGAAGTTCGTTCGCTACGCTCACTCACCTTTTGGTTGCAAATTAACTGTTGTCATAAATGTAAAAGAAATAATAGTGCTGCACCCTGTTGGTAATCCTTGTAACTTTAATGCTATTGAACATCACAGAACAGAACCAACTTGTTTAATTGAAACAGCTGTTAAGATTCAATAATTCCATTTCTCATAAGGTTAACATGGGAAACTCCAGAGCCACTGGGGCGGAGCCCGAAAGGATTTTTGAAATAAGAATATGTCTATATGTTAATCGGGAATGTGAGCTATCATCATGCCAAATTTCAGCCCAATCCGACCAGTATTTTTTGCGTTCACTTGTCACAAACATACATCCATACATCCATACATCTATACATCCAAACTTTCTCATTTATAATATTAGTAGGATAATTAAGTAATTTATAAAGTCGATCAATTAATTGCTTTCTGAGTAAACTGCACTGATTCGATATAGCTAATTTCTCATGTTTTAGCCACTGTTATATATTTATTCTCTTAATTTTGCAAAGGAAAATCTCCAATCAGGACCACTGTGAAACTCTTTCTTCAAACAGAAACATATTTTTTGCATTACAATATTTTCAAATTTAGAATTGATCTCTATAATGATTGACTGTCATGTTGTAAAGGTCCATTTTTTAATTGTGTGTAAACAACAACTACCTACATGAACTCATAACGTGACTGTCCATATATTTTTGGTAAATATGGATTTTATAAGATATAACTCACTTGACTGATTGCCATGTCCAATGTCCAAATAATTGATTTCACCAAAGTTCTCTCATGCAAATGAAGAACGTGTACTATACCTCTTATCTCTTCTTATTTTAAAACCTTGAATACCGAAAAATGAACGCTTTTAAGCACATTTGGCAATAATAATTTGCAGTAGGACAAACAGACCCACTCTACTGAAAGTTTGAGTTGCTCAGTTTGCTCAAGCCTCATATGCAACCAACAAGAAGCAATTTACAAGCTCCCAAACATCGTCGCACCGTCTGTCAAACTCATACTAAATATTCAGAGGCTTATAACAATATTTTGAAGATGTTAAAAACTCTCATTCTATATGTCGACCTTCAAGGATAGATTGTACCATCGATTTAGATTAAATGTTTACTAAAGCATTGTACAATCGAATGGTTATGTTTCATTAACTATGTTTATTGTAAGCAATATTTTTATTATTCGTGTAGCATGATGAAGCATTGTTACACACAACTATCATGAAAAAAGGAAACTTTTCCATCTTAACTTTGATTAAAAGATTTGAAGCGCCGAATGACATACGGGTTTTTAAGTTAATAAATTGAGTATCCTAAAAATATTTTATGTTACAATATACATTTACCTATTATACTAACCAAATATAATAACTAACTATAACATGGTTCAAATAATAACTCAATAAACATCTAAGGTTTAAAAAACAGTATAGCACGGTAACTAAAATGCGTGGGCCCTCTCATACCACACATAATATTCTACTTGTATGTTACTCTGAAACGGAATCTGAAAGTGTGTTTCATGTCGTAAATTTACTATCAACTCTATGGAAAATAACAATCAAATGCAACGAGTATATCTAGGCTCGCGATTTGTATCTTTCCCAAGTATGATGTTTACCATGTGGTGGAATTAAACCAATCCAGTTTTCTATTTAATTATGTAAACCATTTTGTTGTTCGATTTGGTATGAATCACTGCTCTAAAAATACGTTTTATATTTGCTAGACAAACAATGAATACAATACCATTGCATTTACAAACGTAAATTGGTGAACAGTGGTGAACTCCCATTTCTAGGAACTCGAATATCCAACATGTCGAGAGAAGTTTGGGCCAATCGGTTGGACCATTTAATGTTTGAATACGAGTACGATTCCCACATATGGTCCTTCTTACCAGGAGGGGCAGGGTCGGGACATCCATATAGTTAAACCCAGGGCTAACTCCTAAAGTTTTCAAAAATATGAGCTGTATTATTTCCAAAAGTTCATAGTCTTCTTCCTGATAAGAGGCCTTATTAATGAGGCGTATTCTAAATGGGGTCATAAGTGCGCTCTAAGATCGAGGTTAAGAACCATTACCAATTCAAGGTACTTTGCCATTTCAAGTATCATTAAATAATTTCCATTGATGATATAAGTGGAAACTAAAGGAGAATGTGATCAAGAAATGGTAATGGCACTACAATTTGATGGATTCAAGTCTATATAATTTTGGACACACCAATTGACAAGGTTATAAAAATTCCTAAAGCTGGGTTTTCCTAAGCGCGGAAGCGGAGAGCGGAGAGAGGAACGTGGAGAGCGGAATTGAAATTAACATGGCATTCCGCTCCGCTTCTAGGAAATCAGTAACATTAAATTGCCTAAGACAAGTGGAGTCCGCTCTCCGCGTTCCTCTCTCCGCTCGCCGATTCCGCGCCTAGGAAAACCCGGCTTAAGGGGTCATCAGGATTGGAAACTTCTGTGTTCTTGGCATTGTTGGCAAAGGGCAAGCCGTGTTGTAAGTCCAGGGCCATTATAAAATATAATTACCAGCGTAAGAATAATAAAAAATATAATTTACCGACATCTTACTTTTAAATGGTTAGCGATCCGCTATACTTCAGTTCTAGAACATTGTAATATAAACAAATACATTTTCATACGCAATTTGATGTTTCAAGCCATCAAATAAAATTACTACAAATGCTAAAATTGTATTTATGCAAAAATATTACACTAACGTAATATATTATTCAGTTCAATAAATGTCTTATATTAATCAATTTTCAAGTGAACTGCAGTTGCAAAGTCGAGACAAGACTTTTGAAAACTAGATCACTAAGTGATGAATAAGTAAGTGAGATTACTTAGGGAATTACTAAAGTTTTTCTGCAGCATTCCAAATCGGGGGTAGGTTGGTTCCGCATTTGCTACCTACACTAATCCGGGTCCCGTAGGGTGGGTTATAATCTGGTAGGTCAGTTCCGCATTTGACGGCTTCAACAATAGATCTCTTGAAATTGGAAAGATCAGTGAAGCGTACAAAAATGCCAGTCAACCGAAATAATCCATAAAAATAAGCAAGTTCTGAATGAGTTAAAGTTGAAGTAGCATGTTCCAGTTGTAACGATTTCTCTAGTTTTTTACCATAGCTGATGCAGATATTTCTTTCACCGATCCCATTCTTAAAGGGCGAAGATTATTATTGATTATTATTATATTGAAGATTATTATCCCAATCATTATTGCGAGGCCGCAATCTTAAAACTGAAAAAATCACATTACACCAGCTGCTGCTTAAATACGCTTATGTTACAAAATG